AGGTTGCTATAAGTTGGAATCAACTTGACAACACTTAGCAACAACAACAACAAACATAAACTTTCCAAAATATCAGATATCATTCAAAATTAATGCTCAAACATAGATTAGAAAATGACTTAGAAGAGCAACAAGAACAAAGTATTTAGAGCTTTATGTGACCTACACGAAACCAAGGAGTCCTGATGTGGTGCTATAGGAAAAGCACTTGACAACAAGGTCAGTTTGAACTACAAGGTTGGTGGTTCAAATCCACCAGACACTCCTCAGAAACTCTGAGTTGGAACCAACTTGACGGCACTCAACAATAACACATGAAACCAGAAATGAAATCCATTGCCACTGAGTTGATTCTAATTCACAGTGACCCTATAGGACACAGTAGGCAGAATGTCTTTACAGACGCAGACTGCTCCATCATTCTCCCGAGGAGTGGCTGCTGAGTTTGAACCATTGACTTTTGGGTGTGTAGTTGGGCACTTTAAAGACTGTGCCTCTGGGACTCCTGGTCTACATGAAGTGAACTGTTAAATGTAACAGAGACATAAAATAACACCTCCCTCAGTCATCTATGATTCTGGAAGGGCATAATTAATATTCTGAAGAGATCAGTTTTCTTCTCATATTGATCTATAGGTTTAAGGCACATCCAATTTAATTCCTAACTTTGTTGTTATTTTTGGGGGGGGGAGTGGAGGCTGGGGCAAATGATTCTATACATTATCTACAAAAATGAACAGAAGGTATTTTCAAAATAGTTTAAAAAGATAGAAAACTGAACTGCCTCAAAATAACCATTAAGAAAGCTACAATTTCTAATAAACTGTATCTTTGCTCATCTAATAAAGTATATTCTTACAAAGTATATCATAGATTAATAACATAATCTATGTTCCATATCTATGTCAGATCTTTCTGACACAAACCCCAGTTTATAGAGAATTGGTAACTAGATGGTAAAGGAAACAAATCAAGTGAGGGAATGGTTTACTCGACATATGCTTTGGGAAATTGACTCTACAGAAAGAAATGCCAGTGAGTTTACATCATACACTGTACTACAAAGTAAATTCCAGTGTACTGAAATGTTAATAAAAAACTAAAAATAATTCAGAAGTATATCTAATTCTGCATTTAACACCAACATAATATAGCACTGTTGTTGTTAAGTGCCATCAAATGGGTTCCGACCCATAGCGACCCTGAATAGGGTTTCCAAGGAGCAGCTGGTGAACTTGAACCACCGACCTAGCAGTTCAAATGGCTTTGCAGTCTGGCACATTAACTCACAACGTCATAGAAACCTAGTAATATATTTAACTATCCTGAAAACAACAACTGAGTGAGAGAAAAGATTACTTGGACAAATGGAAAGGGGTACAGGTTTTTGAATGGGAAGATATTATAGCAAAGATGTCATTCTCTCATAAATGAATCAATAGGTCTAAATGCATTCAGAACATGTATATTTTTAGAAATTGACAAATGATTTTAAAAATCATCTGTAAGAACAAACAGAAAGAGGAAAATTATATATGTATAATTTTAAAATTATGTAAAATTATACATATATAATTTTCCTATTTAAAATATGATTTTAAATATATGTAAAATTATATATGTATAATATATATATATATATGTTGTTAAGTACTGTTGAGTTGGTTCTGATTCACAGTGACCCTGTGTATAGTTTTCAAGAAGCGGCTGGTAGGTTTGAACCATCGACCTTGTAGTTAGCAGTCCAGTAGTTATCCTAAAGTGCCATTGTTATTGTTAAGTGCTGTCAAGTTGGTTCTGAATCCTAGCAACCCTGTATAGGGGTTCTGAGGAACAGCTGTTGGGTTTGAACCACCGACCTTGTGGTCCTGTGCAGCACCACATGAAGACTCCATATATATTTGGAGTCCTGGTGTGGCACTGTGGGTTGATGCACTGGACTGCAAGGTTGCTTTGAACAGCAAACCCACCAGCTGGTCACTGGAAACCCTATACAGGGTTGCTATGAGTCAGAAGCAGCTCGATGGCACTGGAAAACAGCATATACAGATACTGGGGTGATTTAAAGTTATACTAATTAAACACAGAGGGGCTTGTAATAGAAGACTAGACAGACCAATGAAGCAGAAACAAAGAGTACAAATCCACAAATCACATACGTTAATTATTTGACATGACCAAGTTAGAAAAAAATGTCCTGGATTAGCATCAAGCAATATTTATCTAACATAATTGCTCACTTAAGACTAATGTGGCAGTCTGCTTCTGTAAAAATTTACAGCCATGGAAACTCTGTGGAGTAGCTCTACTCTGTCATACAGGGTTGCTGTGAGTCAGAACCAATTAGATGACAAGGGACAAATAATGCTATTCTAAGGTAATTAGTAGGTGTGAAGAAAGGTTTATTCAAAGGTGTTCCTTATAATGCATTATATTGTTTATTATAATAAACATAAGGAACTCTGGTAATGTAGTGGTTATGAGTCGGGCTGCTAACCTCAAGGCCAGCTAGTTCGAAACTATCAGCAGTTCCACAGGAGAAAGATGAAGCTTTCTTTTTTCACCACCACCAACAAAATAAACATGGAGGTAACCAAAAATTTCAACTATAGAGAGTTACATATAATTGATTAATATGCTACTAACTAAAAACAAAACATGGTTAAATGACATGAGAAATATGTACATTAGTCTAAATAAAAAAGTTAACATAAGAAGCTATGATAAAAAAATTTCAGATTAAAAAAATGTATATACAGGAAAAATATTGGACAAGTATATATATACAATATTTGCAGTAAGGCCATGGGAATTTTAAAATACTTTTCTTTCTATTTCCTAGATGTTTAAGATGTACAATCTGAATAAACATTATTCACATAAAATAATGTCTTTGATGGTGGTGTTTATGTGCGTTGGAGTTGGTTCCAACTCATAGCAGCCCTGCATAGGGTTTCTTAGGTTGTAAATCTTTATGGGAGCAGAAAGTCTCGTCTTTCTCCCATGGGGTGGCTGGTAGTTTTGAACTGCTGGCCTTGGGGTTAGCAGCCCAACTTGTAACCATCACACTACCTTGTGTTGGAGATTTCCTTTGGCATAGCCTAGCATGGCTCCTTCCAGCTATCACACTGCAATATTCTTCGCAGACACCCCATGCTTTGGTGTTTAGTTTGAAGCAAGAAGACAACATTTTTCATGCATTTTGGTGAAGCATGCATTTGAACTTACCGTTCTTTTTGCTTTACTATCATGCATGAGACGACAGTGACCAAGATGATAATAATTACTGCACCTGCAGAAATACCTAGAAAACAAAAAAAAACACACATAACCAATGCCAGAGAAACATGGCCTCTGTTTCTGTTTTTGTTTTTTTTTAACAGACTGTGGAGCCTATTCCTAGTGGTGAGAAAAACAATGTGACTTTTACACTTTAGTACTTCTCAGACACAAATGTTGAATTCCTCAGTATCTTGGCTTCAGCGTTTGTTTTTTTCTGATTTGTATGTTTAGTCTAAAGCATGAAGCACATCACTAAAGGGTCCAATCAAGTTTCTGTTGCTTTCAGTTTTATTCGTAACAGTGTCATCACTAAGGTGAAATTGGAAGCACAAGACACTGGCATCCCATGATCATCATTCTACATAATGTATATTTCACTTCCAAATGTGGAATATATTGTGCTATGGCAGAATAAACTGAAGATGCCAAATGGTACCAAAGACCAAGATTTAATGAAAAGTAACCTTTCAATTCAAAAACGGGAGTGTTTCAATCATTTTCCCTACTCCATCTAAAAGCGGCATTTCAAAATGTAGAATACATAATAAAATACACTTGAAACACCAAAAACCTGTCATTTTCAGTAAGTTCAAGTGAAAAAAAAAAAAAAAAAGTAACCCCACATAGGATACGTTGTTGTTGTTAAGGGTCATTGAGTTAGTTCCGACTCATTGAGACCCTGTGTAGGGTTTCCAAGGAGCAGCTGGTGAGTTTGAACTGCCAACTTTGCAGTTCAAACTGGTCTTACGATCCAGTGCATTATCCTGCAGCACCACACCAAGACTTGAGTGAAATTTACATATGTGTATATATAAAGGATATATGTGTTTTTTGTTACGTGCCATCAAGTCGGTTCCGACCTGTAGCGACTCTGTATAGGGTTTCCAAGAAGCATCTGGTGAGCTTGAACTGCCAACCTTGTGGTTCAAGCCAACATTGAAGTCTAGCACTTGAACTCACAGTGCCACACCAGGACTCCATAAAGGATATAGAGCCTCTGATTTTATGGTAAAACATCATTAGTGCATTTAAAGAAAACAAAGAAGAAGAAGAAAAACTTACCACAAATAAGAGGAACATGTGAATCTAAGGAGGAAATATAAAATCATGAAATATCAACATCGTAGTATAAGTCAATATAGCCCAAGTCCCTTGGTAATGTTCCAGAAGTTAACACTCACGTCCTGCTTGAGACCCCTAAGAAAGATTTAAGGGAAGCCTGAACAGTATCCACTGCTCTAACAAGTCGCTGGAATTTTCTGGATATCACTTTAATTAGGCAGCTGAGATATTGTTTGCCAATGAAATAAATCCATATGTTCAACAGTATAATCAGGGAGTTCTCAGACTAGACTACAGATATCATCTGTTACAACAAGTGAGCTCACATATTTTTAGGGTCCCCTGTCAGACTGGTAAGCACTTATACACTCAAGATGCAGCACTGACAGAAGGCTCAGTAGCAGCATACTGGGTTTTACTTTAGTTCTTTCTAAGTAAGGGTTCCTCTCTATTTTCTCTTTTTTACTTCTCCCATCCTCAGAAAGTTTTATTTTGGTAAAAAAGACCACTGACTTCAGAATTTTTTTTTGCTGTTACACCACTTGGTCAGAGACCTCTATCAGTTTAAAGTCCAGAGGTCCCCAGCTTTGAGAAAGATCCATGACTCTCCCCTGTCCAGTGAGACTGGTGGTCACAGTGAACGTTTTTGCACTTACGTGATTTGCAGACAGCCAGGGGAGGGTTCCAGTTGTGATCCTCCTGGCACTGGCTCTGGGGACTGCCTTCCAGAAGATACCCATCTTCACACTCCATAGTTACAGTAGCTCCATAGTGGTACATTTTCTGGGGCTCCAGCCCCTTCTGCATTCCATTCATATACTCTGGGAAGCTACAGTTTACCTCTGCAATGAAAGGAATCTAATTGAAGCTGTGGCACATTTGGGCATTTTAACCAAGATGCAGATCCTGCTCTTAGTGGAAAGTTTATGAAACCCATTGATTTTATCCTCGGGAAGCAAGACTTCATTCACAGAATATGAACCAATACCATAAGTTCTTTCAGCAGCTGTCATCTCAGGAACATCGAGATAAATTTAAATCAGGTTGTTTATCTTCTTTGTGTTGTAGTTTCTATGCTAATGGGGTTAGATGATTTCAATGCCTCCTTAAGTAATGGTGAGGACTCAATGGGTAATATTAAGTATTTTAAATCACTCATTGATCTGCTTCTAACTTACTTTATAATTATTCATACATGTCTATGCAACCTCATTTATTGTAGCTTTTTAATGCAAGGGTCTATAGTGTGAACTCTTGAGCTTATACCCAGCTTGACTCTGGTACTTCCTAGGTGTGTGACTTTGAATATGTTACAGCCTCTAGGGACAACATCTGTAAAACAGGGACAATAAAGGCACCAACCTTGTATGGTGCTTGTGAAAGTAAATGCTAGAATGCATGTACAGTGCTATCTATGTTGTTGTAGTTAGTGCCGTCGAGTCGGTTCCAATCCATAGCGACCCTGTATAGGGTTTCCGAGGCGTGACCGGTGAACTTGAACCACTGACCTTGCAGTTCAAATGGCTTTGCAGTCAGGTGCATTAACCCACAGTGCCACACCAGGACTCCATGCTGTCTACACTACCTGATATATTGTAACAAGTGCTCAGTAGTAAGTATCAGTCTATTATTCACATCTCATATGAATTGTTTATGATTGTTAAAATGATGTTCAGCTACATTTAGTTTTTGTTTTGTTTTTTTCTTTTACATGTAGTTTTAAATGTACCCACAATCCCATCACCACTCAGAGTAAATAAATGCAAAAGATCATTGTGCATTTATTAGGACGTTGTCACCATCGTGTGACATAACCTTAACCATAGTACAAGTACAATTGGTCTTTTATTTGTTTCATACACATATGCACTTTGACTTTCTATATTCAAATGACTGCATAAGTGGTCACTTACCAGACAGGCTACAGATTAAGCCATTTTTGTTATTTTGGGTATTCGGCAGTTCTACATAACTGGCATGAGGCATAGTCAACTCAACTGCAATGGATTTTGCTTGCGTTCTTCTTGTTTTTAAGATAACTTCCAGTGAATGTATCCCTTTCAAAATATGTTTTGAAAATACCTGACTGAACACGCCCATTTGAGATAAATCTAATTAAAAGTAAGGGGAAAAAATAGACAACGCACCTTTACAATATGGGACAGGTTGGCTCCAGGTTCTCTTATGCGTGCAAAGAAGGAATGCCTCTCCAACCAACAGGTAACCTGGGTCACAGCTGTAGAAGATTGACATTCCAGGGTAAAATTTAGCAATATCTCTACCAGTGTGCTGCCCATTGGCGATCTCAGATGGCGGTTCACATCCTAAAAAAGCTTAGAGACCAAAAAGAAAGGATCTTTAATTCTGCATAGAGGAAAACATAACTCCCACTATTTTTAATCCTTAGGGATACAGAAAGATGGCAAACAATAAGCCAACTAGTTAATGATATCTGGGAACACTCATTCATTCTATCCAGACTGATCAGCACAGACAGGGCTCTGCATTTCCTACCCATATCATAAGAGATGAGAAGAAAAATGTCAGCGATAAGACAACAAAACACCAATAGTTACAAACCAAACAGTTTCAATGTATCAGCTAGCAGCATCTTCTTTTTCTTTTAGATAGCTGGTAGGAGTTAGTTTAAGTAAGATCACATTTTCAAATGCCTTCCTGTAGGATCCAGGAAGTGAAGCAAGTAGGCAGGACAAATCCAAGGGCCCCTGTCTTCCTAAACGTGGCAACCACTGTTCAACTCAAGTTTCTGGTATGTTGTAGGAAAGCAAGGGGGACTCTTGCTGTATGATATACTCACTATTAATCCTGGGTTTCACTTTAAATAAGACTACAGTGCTGAACAAACAAAACACTTCTTGAGCTGAATTCAGTTTTGGGGTCATCATAACAATAATTGCTGCTGCTGCGGGTAGTCACTGACAACAGTAAGCTACCAAAAGTGACAAGAAAGACCATTTAATAGATTTGAAGGAAGCCTTCATTTTCTAGAACACCCAAAGTTCTTTTTCTGGCTGGTATCAAATCATCAAGAATTATCACTGCTCAAGATTTGCAAAAAAAAGATGAATTTTTCTTAAGTTAAATCCATTAAAAACAAAAAAAGTTTCGGGGACCCCACTCAATTGGAAGTTAACCATTAGCTCTACACTCTGCGAAAGGAAAAAAAGAAAGAATCAAGAAGTGAGAAAATAAGAAAAAGCAGGAAGAACTATAATTGCTTCAGCTGCTACATGGTTTTTTTGAAGCAGAAAAGCAAGTGGAAACTCTTTTTCTTTCTTATGCTATACAATAGCCCATATTTTATCCCTTAAAATATCTTACCCTTTTTGATACAAGTCGGTACACCTGGAACCCATGTGTTATCAGTATGACACCTGATAGAATGACTGCCATTCATGACAAAGCCATCATTGCAGGCAACATACACTATGTCATTATGGGAATATGAGGAACGAGTTTTATTTAGCTTGTGTCCATGTTTGACTTCTGGGCTAGGGCAGTGAGTCACAGGAAGAGACCGGGAGCAGCTTGGGGAAGGTCCACTCCAAACGCCTTCTCCTTTAGTATCATTCAGGCATCGTATAGTTTTCTCTCCCAGAAGATCAAATCCTTGGTCACATTCATAAGAAACTTCATTTCCATATTGAAAGTGTTTTCCTATCATGCTTTTATACCTCCCATTTTTAATTGTTGGTGGATGTTGACAGTAAATAACTGCAGAAGAGATTTAAGGAATTCTGTATCAGCTATACATCAAAGGGGACAATTTTCATTTAGGTATAAATGAGACTATTCTAACTACACATATTTCCCAGAACTAGAAGATTATTTGAAATTTGAAACCTGGCTTATGTATTTTTTCCAAAAAGCTTTATTAAAATTTCTGATGATATGAGTTGTTGTTGTTACGTGCTGTTGAGTGAGTTTTAGTCCAATACTTATCCTACAGCACCACACCAAAAATCCAATTATATGAGTAATACATATCAATTCCAAAAAATTCAGAAAACACAGTGTAGTAATAAAGAAAGAAATAGGACTAGAAATATGTTGTTAAGTGCTGTTGAGTGAGCTAACATCACAGCGATCTTGTTTCCAAGGAGTGACTGGTGAGTTTGAATTGCTGACTTTGCAGTTTGCAGTCCAGTGCTTACCCTACAGCACCACATCAGCTCTCTCTCTCTCTATATATATATATACATACATATGCATATATGTGATTTATATATGTATCTACACACACATACACACACACACACACATATTGATGTTGTTGTTATATCAAGTCAGTTTCTAGCTCAGAGCAACCCTGTATAGGGTTTCCAAGGCTTTGAATCTTTGAGGAACCAGAAAACCTCATCTTTCTCCCATGGAGTGGCTGGTGAGCCCAATCTGTGGCCCTTGTTCAGTGGTTTCCATAGAAGCCACCACACTCCCATAAATGTATTAGTAAAATGAGCAAGGATATGAGAAATACTTAGTTTTTAACTTTGTTTCTCAATGTCAGTGCTGACAACACATGGAACGGTTTTTCTCAGTCTAATCACATTGAAGGAGAAAATATAAATTGTTGAGGTAGTTTCAGACTAGCTCTTTAATGGCCTACTCTTACTTAGCTTTCTCGTACCATCAGTTAGTTTGTTTGTTTTTCTAACTTACTTTTACAAAGTGGAATCCTTTGAAACCAAACTCCGTTCTCAGCATCCTGACACTTCTGATAAGAATATCCAGTCATTTGGGACCTAGAGACAGATAATAATACATTTCCTCTTCCAGTATTACATATCTCTACAACCCAGCCCCATCCAACCACAACCACAGAACTTTGGCAGAGAAGAGTTGACCTTCCAATGAGTATTAAGAAAACAACTGTAGATTTAGTCATGCACAGCAAAGCCATTAGATGCACATTAGACCTGTAGAACTTCATATTCTCTGTAGGTGTGGCAGAGAGTGAAAGCCACCAAGACAAGTTGAGAGGACAGTTAATTCACTAAACAAGGTAGGCATCCCTTCTCAGAAGGGATGGCCTCATACTTACCCAATTTGGCAGGATGTATTGAATGTCACCACGTGGGTGCCAAGTGGAATCTCTTGCTTATATTCTGTCATGGGCTCGCATGATTTTTCTAGAGGAGTAAAGTTGGAATTACTTATAGAGATCTCATTATGAAAGAGACAAATAACTCTGGAACTGAAAGTACCTTCACACCGTGGGGCAGAAGGACTCCAAATTCCTGAAGGCATACAACGAATGGATTTGTTTCCCACAAGCAAGTAGCCAGGGTCACAGGAGTAGATGACAGTCATCCCAGAGACAAAGACCCTGCTCCCACCCGTGTGCTGACCATGGTGGATTCCAAAAGGTGGCTGGCAGTCTGAAGAGAAAACTCCCCACATAAATATCAACAGTAAGACACATAGATTAAAGAACATTGAGTATACAACATTTGACAACAGTCTGAAACTTTTAAACAGAATTCCCTAATTCTCTAATTGATCACTGACCTCTTGCCACTACTGAAGGAACTAGGCATCTCTGAGTGATACAAATGGTTAACAAGCTGGGCTGCTCCCTGACATGCTGACTGCACCCAGAGGTGTACTGGAAGAAAAGCTTGGCAATCTAGTTCTGAGAAACCAGACATTGAAAACCCTAAAACAGTAGAACAGTTCTACTCTAACACATAGGCTGTCACCGTAGGTCTGAGTCCATTTCACAGCAACTGGTTACTGATTTTTAAGAAGCCTTTAAAAAGGACATCTCAGCATCTACCCTGGCTGAATCCCAGATCTGCAGGAGCCTTTACACAAAAAACATGCACAACTCACACATAACATTCTATTAGAGAATGGAAGGAATGGAAAAGCAGTCTTGTCTTTTGCTGTGATCCTCGATAATAATACATAAATTACCTTCTTTTTATCCATTGGGCTCTTACCTTTTTCACAAACTGGTATTTCAGGATCCCAGGTGTCATTGGCTTTGCAACGAATCTGACTGCTGCCCTTCAAAGTAAATCCATCATGGCACTTGAATGTCACACTATCATTGTAAACATACGGGGCTTCCTTGCCAGATATTTTGCTCCCATTTGCAATGTGGATGGATGAGCACTGGATATCAGGGATGGAAAGTTCACAGCGAGGAGCATGGCCACTCCAGCTGCCCGTCTCTTGGTCACTGGTTATACAACGGATGGTGCTCTTCCCAATGAGGATGAAATCCACTCCTCTCTCTGGCCCGGGTTTACATGTATAAGTAACTGTGGTTCCGTATGGAACATCCCCTGAGGAGCTACCTGAGTGCATCCCATTGTAGATAACAGGAGGTGGTGGGCATGTGATTTCTAGAGAGATGAAAAGGATACGGTAGAGCTCTGTCCCAGGATTAGACACCAAAAAACAGAAGTGAAACTGGCAATGAACCTGTTGGTTTCAGGTTTTCTGGAGGATATAGGAGAGTTGTGATGGTACGAGTTACAGAAAATCTCATGTTTTATATATACAGTACTGGTACAGCACTCTGTAATAATATACTAGACCACAAGGTCAGTTTGAATTGCAAGGTCAGCAGTTCAAATCCACTGCTCCTCAGAAACCCTATACAGAGTCACTATGAGTCAGAGCTGACTCGATGGCACTTAACAACAATATCATATATAGAGACAGATGTAGATATAGATGTATGTATACAATTCAATTTAGACAAATTTCACAAAACAAATTTCTCAATTGGAATCTAAGCTAAAAGTGAACATGTTGATCAATATCATTATGACACAGTAAGGAGAATTGTCACTGTTAGGTACCATTGAGTTGGTTTCGATCCATAGCAAATCTATGTACAATAGTACGAAACACCAGCTGGTTCTGTGTCATCCTCACAGTTGCTGCTATTTGACCCCTGGTAGTTAATTATTCATTTAAGAATGCTTTAAATAATTAGAGAAAGAAAGGCATGGGGGACTAGGATTAAGCGTTTTGAGTACCATATTTGTGCTGAGGTCATACAATAGTTTATACGGTTATTGAAGATTTATTGTTGATTGAGCACCTACTTTGTGAAAGGCAGTTTTCTCCTCTAGAAAGAAGGGAGACCACTAGTCATAATAACTCTGCAGTAGATGGTCTTTTGTTAAGTTGACAGATGAAGGACTGGAATCTCAGGGAAGTTATGGATCATGCCCGAAGTTATACCGTTATTTAGCAGTATAAACAGAACCTGAGTTCAGATCCAATTTCCACTAAACTGTTGTTGGTGTCAAGTGCTGTTGAGTGAATTCCGACTCATAATGACACTGTAGAGGGTTTCCAAGGAACAGATAGTGAGTTTGAACCGCTGCCCTTACACTTAGCAGTCCAGTGCTTATCCTACAGCGCCACATCAGGATGCCATTAAACAGTACCCACAAATTAGAACAGTGGCTCATATACTCACTGCCTCCCTTATTATTCATATAATCTTAAATTATAAAAGAGAAGAATTAACTGGGTATATATAATTTAACTGGTTGATGGAAGAAATGACAGCAGAGATATGTAGCAAAATGGTGTAACTATATCTGTTGTGTGGCACTGTAGGGAAAGAACTAGACCACAAAGTTGGTTTGAACCGCAAGACTGGTCGTTCAAACTCATCATCTGCTCCTTGGAAACCTTATACAAGGTTGCTATGAGTGGGACCCACTTGATGGCACTTAACAACAAAAACGTAACTGTTGACAGATGTAATAGAATAGAATGCTTTCATTTCCATAAAATGGTTTAAAATGGAAATCTCCCAGGAAATGCATAGCTCTTTCACTATTTCAGTTCTTCTGTTATCCTTGCTACTTACCTTTACAAAGACGAATCTCTGTAAACCAAGGAACGGCACCTTGACACTGCTGATAAACACTCTCACCTAATCGGTACCTAGGGACAGAGAGATTTGTGATTTTCCTATCTGAGGACCACAAAAGTAAGCAACAGCTGTTGGCCCCAAAGCAAGCTCACTATTTTCAGAACAAGAAGCACAAGGAAGAAAAATGCAACCAGCCTCAGCATCACCCACCCACAGGCATAACTTCCATGCCCCCCCAAAGTAGCATAATTGAGAATCCACAAACGTGTGTGTGGTGGGAGTGTGCATTCAGTGCTCAGTGAGAAATAGACCTAGTTCAGCCTAGACAATGTCACTTACCCTTCTTCACAAGAAGAGTTAGTATCTTGTCGAATAAACTGATTCTGGGGTTTTTTAAAGAGTTCCTTTCCTATAGGTTTACACTCTGCCACTAAGAAGAGAGATGAGGATTAGAAACCAACTCAATTAAGTCTCAGTGCCCACAAAACATCATCATTCGAGACCTGGCACCTTTGCACTGGGGAGCTCTCGGTGCCCACACGCCCACTGAGGTACAGCGTATGGATTCTTCTCCAACAAGCACGTAGCCCGGGTCACAACCATATCTGATGGATGTTCCAGGATCAAAGCGGACCACGTGGCTATCTTTATTTTGCCCATTGAGGATTTTAGGAGGGGCCTGGCACGCTAAAGAAAAGAAAGTCTGGTGTTAACAAAAACAGAAAGAAAATAGAGGCAAACAATTTGATCTTAAAATTACCATCCCGCTCTGATAGTAGTGCGTGGTACAGATGCTATCTTACAACCCAGTGTTGGGTAATTTTAGATGACTGTTTCTTAATTATTCCCTCTTTTCTGTACTTATGTTGCTTCAAATTTTGTTCAGTTCCCACTCACTGTTACAACTTCTTTACTTTCTTAACGAATCATCTGATAAGCTTTTGTGGGAGATTTGAATACACCTCTGGGGTGGTGGGGCCTTGCTAATTTCCCTTAATAGTATCATTATTATGACAAGTTAGAGATTTGAATCCATAAGCTCCTCAAAAGAAAGACCTAGCATCTACTTTAGCAAAACCAGCCAATGAAAACCCTGTGGGGCACAGTTCTACTCTGACACACCTGGGGTCAGCATGAATTGGAATTGACTTGATGCAACTGGTAAATTTAGACAAGCATTGCTGCCAGTTTTTTTAAATTACAAAAATGGGCAACTCATGCTTTCTCACCAAAGATTTTCTCACTAAATGAAATAATAGTGAACTTTGAGTGATATTAAGAAAGCTCTCTATATAATATAGTATCCACTAAGGACTAATGTGTCAGACTGCAAAGTCATTTGAAGTGCAAGGTCAGTGGTTCAAGCTCATCAGCTGCTCCTTGGAAACCCTATACAAGGTTGCTATGAGTGGGACCCACTTGATGGCACTTAACAACAACAACAAGGACTAATGTGTCAGACTGCAAAGTCATTTGAAGTGCAAGGTCAGTGGTTCAAGCTCATCAGCTGCTCCTTGGAAACCCTATACAGGGTAGCTATGGGTCTGAATCGACTCGATGGCACTGAACAACAACAACAGTGTACCATAGTGGTTACGAGTCAGGCTGCTAACCTCAAGGTCAGCAGTTGGAAACTACCAGCTGTTCTGCAGGAGAAAGATGAGGCTTTCTGCTCTGGTAAAGATTTACAGCCTCAGAAACCCTATGCGGGGTCACTGTGAGTCCTGGTGTGGCACTGTGGTTAATGTTCTGGAATGCAAAGCTGGTTTGAACCACAAGGTCTGGCAGTTCAAGCTCAGCAGTCACTCCTCAGAAACCTTACACAGGGTCATTATGGGTCAGAACTGACTTGACAGCATTTAACAACAACAACAACAACATATTTAATAAGAACTCCTGGTATGGTGCTGGGTTGTGAATGAGATCAGTAGTTCAAACCCAACAGCTGCACCTCAGAAATCTTCTTATACAGGTCACTATGAGTTGGAACCGACTCGATGGCATTTAACAACAATATTTAATATGGAGTCCTGGTGTGGTGCTATAGGATAAACATTGGTCTGCTAACTGCAATTTCAGCAGTTCAAACCCACTAATCACCCCTCAGAAACCCTGTACAGGATCGCCATGAGTTGGAACAGACTCAACAACACTAACAACAGCAACCTACCTAATATAAACAAAGGGAGTAAAGACTGGAATTGGCCTTTCTTAAACCCAGAATCTCTTCCTTTATCTTTTCATATGGATGAATCAGTCATACCTTTTCTTCAACACTTACCCTTTTCACAGGAGGGTACAGGTGGATCCCATGTGCCTTGAGCATTACATCGGGTTTGACTTCTGCCCTTCATGGTGAAACCAAACTGACACGCAACCACCACAGTGTCATTATACAGATACTCCTCTTTCTTCACAGATAATGTATGTCCATTGAGGACTTGGGGATGTGAGCACCGAACAGCAGAAGTAGAAAGTTCGCAGCGTGGAGCAGAGCTACTCCAGATCCCAGTCCTCTGACTATCACTTCTGCAATGGATGGTGTCCTCCCCGATAAGAACGAAGGCCACTCCTTTCTCTGGGTCCGGGTTGCAAGTATAAGTGACTGTACTTCCATAAGGAGCAGGCACTGAGGATTTGCCTGTGTGTCTTCCATTGTGAATAGTAGGAGGTGGTGGGCAAAGAATTACTAGAAAAATTACAGGGAGAAATGACAAGTCTGTAGGTTGGACAACTAACAAAAAAAGAATGCCTTGAATGCTGCCACTCGCTACTCTCATATCTGAGATTCAAGGACAGTGATAGTTAATGCATCAATCAAGCCAGATAAAGCATCATAATGCAAAAGGTATGGCTTTTAAACCTCACTCCTGAGTACATCTGCTTTTCTGATCCTTAGATTTATTTGACCAAATATACATTCTGTGTATGACTGGTCATGTACTTAGCAAACTTGTAGAACTTTCAAGAAAGAAAAAGCTAGGAACCATGCTTTAGCTGAGTAAGAGCAGAGTATGAAATAAATGTTTCTTTAGTAAAGCCAATAGCCTCTAATGAGCCTAAGGGAGATTGTCACTCTACAAACATCTGTGTTGTAATGGCTGAACCCCAAACTTTAAATTAAGCTGAAAGTACAGTGTCCTGTTGAATGTCTGATAAAAAAAAAAAAAAAAGATGCAAAACAGTTGCCTTGCCTACCTTCACATACTGGCATCTTAGTCCAATAAGCATTTTGCTCAGCAATTACACACTGGCTAGAAGGCTGGCCTTGTAATCGGTACCTGGAGACAGAGGATTGTCATTCAGAGTTACTAATTGGGTTGTGCTGCAGAACAGCAGTCTCCACCTAAAATTCAAGATACATTCTCTTAATCTGTTCATTTCTATACACTTAATCCTTTTATCCCACCATTCGTCTGTCAGTTTGTGAAACTGTGGTGGTCCTCATGTTGTTGTGATGCTAGAAGCTATACCACCAGTATTGTAAATTCCGGCAGGGTCATCCATGGTGGACAGGTTTCAGCTGAGCTTCCAGGATAACACAGACTAGGAAGAAGAGATGGACTATGTCTGAATGTCTAACCACAAAATCTTATGATCAGCATTGGAACACTATCAGATAGAACCAGAGTATTGAATGATGAAAGGTTATGAATGGCACCAGAATGCTGTCAGATATAATGCTGAAAGGTGAGCCACTCAGGTTGGAAGGCACACTAAATACAGCTGGGAAAGAGCTTCATCCTAGAAGTACAGTTGACCATGACGCCATGAATGGAGTAAAGCTTTCAAAATCTCCATATGCTGCTGTGGCATAACTTAAAATAAGCAGAAACAGCTGCAAATACCTTTAATAATCAGAACATGGAATGTACAAAGTATGAACCTAGGAAAATTGGAAACTGTCAAAAATATGGAATGTAAAAACAATGATATCCTAGGCTTTGTTTAGCTGAAATGGACTGGTATTGGCCATTTTGAATTTGACAATTATATGGCTTACTATGCTGGGAATGATAAATTAAAGAGGATCGGGATCACATTCATATCAAAAAGAACATTGCAAGATCTATCTTGAAGTACAATGCTGTTTGTGTTAGGATAATATCCATACAAGGAAGACCAATTAATTCCACTATTCAAATTTATGCTCCAACCACTAAAATCAGTGATGATGAAATTGAAGAATTCTACCAACTTCTTCAGTCTGAAATTGATCAAACATGCAATCAAGATGTATTGATAAATACTAATGATTGGCATGCAAAAGTTGGAAACAAAGAGGAAGGATCAGTAGTTGAAAAAGATGGCCTTGATGACAGAAATGCTGTTGAAAATCTCATGATAGAATCTTGCAAGACCAATGACTGATTCATGGCAAATATCTTTTTTAAACAACAAAAAAGGTGACTTATACATGTACCTCACCAGATGGGATATAAAGGAGTCAAGTCAACTACACTTGTGGGAAGAGACAATGGAAAAGTTCCATATCATCAACCAAAACAAGGACAGGGGAAGACTGTGCAATAGACCACAAATTTCTCATATGCAAGTTCAGGCAAAAGCTGAAGAATATTATATCAAGTCCACAAGAGTAAACATACAACTTTGAACATGTAGCACTAGAACTCAGAAATCATCTCAAGAACAGATTTGATGCATTATACAATAATGACTGAAGACTAGAAAAATTATAGGATTACATCAAGAACATTATACATGAAGAAAGCAAAAGGTCATTAAGAAGACAAGAAAGAAGGAAAAGAGCAAAATGTCAAAACGACATTTTGCAACTTGCAAAAAGAGACTCTGAAACTTGCTTTCCATTGTAGAGATGCTAAAACGAATGGAGGAAATGAGGAGGTAAAAGAGCTGAAGAAAAAATCTCAAAGGGCAGATCAAGAAGACAAAGTCAAGTATTATAAAGATACATGCAAAGACTTGTATTTAGACAACCAAAAGGAAAGAGCATGCTCAGCATTTCTTGAGCTGAGGGAACTGAAGAAAAAAATCCAAGCCTTTACTTGCAGTATTGTAGGATTCTATGGGCAAATTATTGAATGATGTGAAAAGCATCAAAAGAATATGGAAGAATACAGAGTTACTGTACCAAAAAGAAATGATCGATGTTCACCATTGCAAGAGGTAGCATATGATTAAGAGCCTATGGCACTGAAGGAATAAGTCCAAGGTTCATGGAAGGCACTGGCAAAGAACAAGGCTCTGGGAATTGATGAAACACAAATTGAAATATTTCAACAAACTGATACAACACTGGAGGCACTCACTTATCTATGCCAAGAAATTTAGCAGACAGCTACCTGGCCAACTGATTGAAGGAGACCTATATTTATGCCCACTCCAAAGAGAGATGACCCAACAGAATGCGGAAATCATCAAACAATATCATTAATATCATATGTAAGTAAATTTTTGTTAAAGATAATTCAAGAATGGCTGCAACAGTACAATGACAAGGACAAGCTGGATTCAGACAAGGAAGTGGAATGGGAGAGATCAGCATATATCAGAGGATCTTGGATGAAAGCAGAGAATACCAGAAAGATGTTTACCTGTGCTTTACTTACTATGCAAAGGCTGTTGATTGTGTGGATTATGACAAGTGGTGGATAGCATTGCAAAGAATGGCTGTTTCAGAATACCTAATTTTGTTCATGAGGAATCTACATAGATTAAGAGGCAGTCGTTCGAACAGAACCAGGGGACACTGAATGGTTTAAAGTCAGGAAAAGTGTGAGTCAGGGTTGTATTCTTTCATCATGCTTATTCAATCTGTATGTTGAGCAAATAATCTGAGAAGCTGGATTATATTATCAAAAACATGGCGTCAGAATTGGAGGAAGACTCATGAACAACCTATAATATGCAGATGATACAGCCTTGCTTGCTAAAATTGAAGAGAACTTAAAATACTTCTGATGAAGATAAAAAATCTCAGCCTTCAATATTGGTTGGACCTCAGTGTAAATAAAACAAAAATCCTCACCACTAGACCAATAAATAACATCATGATTAGTGGAGAAAAGATTGCAGTTGTCAAAGACTTTATTTTGCTTGGATCTCCTAGGAACATCTATGGAAGCAGTGGTCAATAAATTAAATGACATATTGCATTAGACAAATCTGTTTCAAAGACCTCTTTCATGTGTTCCGGAACAAAGATGACAGTTTGAGGTGTACCTGAACCAAGCCATGGTCTTTTCAGTAGCTTCATATGCCTGTGAAAGTTGAACAATGAATAAGGAAGACTGTAGAAGAATTGATGCATTTGAGTTATAGTGTTGGAGAAGAATATTAAAAGTACCATGGACTGCTAGAAGAACCAACAAATTTGTGTTGGAAGAGGTACCGCCAGAATACCCCTTAGAAGCCAGGATGACCAGAATTCATCTCTCATACTTCAGACACATTATTAGGAGGAAACAGTCCCTGGAGAGACACACGGCACTTGGTAAGGTGGAGGGTCAGTGAAAAAGAGGAAGACCCCAATGAGATGCATTGGCACAATGGCAGTGGCAGTGGCAGCAGCAATGGGCTCAAGCGTGACAACTGTAAGGATGATGCAGGACCGTGCAGTGTTTTGTTCTGTTGTTCATAGGGTCACTATGAGTCACAATGGACTTGGTGGCACCTAACAACAACAACAACATTCCTTTTATCAGCATTCTCTCATACACCTTCACCACAGCTTCCCACAGGGCTCACAGAGGAGCCTTCTGTAGCCTTCAAAGTCCCCTCTGTGGAAACACAACCCAACAGAGTTAAATGTCAATGGCCCAGATGACACTCACCCTTCATTACAGGAAAAGGTCACAGTTGCCCCAACCTTAAGACTCGGTGGCACCTCTATCTTCCCATTGGGAAACTGCCCTGGAGATTCACACTTGGCCTCTAGAGAAACAAGTCAAAGATGACCAAAGTATTCTGAAAATGCCCATATGCTGAAAACAGACTGAAATTCAGGGCACCTTTACATGTGGGACTGACAGCGCTCCACTCTCCTGAAGACAAGCAGGTGATGGTCTTCTCTCCCTGAAGTAAGTAATCATGTACACAGCTGTACGTCACAGACAGTCCTGAGGCAAAGGAGCTTCCATTTTCCCCCGTGTGCTGGCCATTGGAGATCCTTGGAAGTGGTGGGCACTCTAAGGGGATATCTTTAAACAGAAAAAACCTTCATGTGATACTTCCATCATAACCTGAAATTCTTGACTTAGTTCCCAGGTCCAAACAGTGACAACTGATCTATGGTAACCAGGGCCATTAGCTTTCAACTCAAACTTTTAATGATCAACAACCAGTTTTGGTTTAACTGCAACCATTTCATATCATGAACAGTATGCTACTTTTCATCTTTATGTATACTTTATGGAATACATTTGCCTTGTGTCAGTACATATATGACTTATACCTAAATATTTATAAAGTACTTATACCTAAATATTTATAAAACCTTGTTTTCCACAGTATGGAATTTCCTACCTCCAAGATTTTATATATGTATAACATAGAAGAACTGTATCATCAAATTATTTCTAATGATCATTTTCAGCATTTTAATCTATTTAGAACTTATCAATATTGAGCTATATTAAGAAAATGTCTAATATTGATGGTAACGTTTTTGTCAGAGATGATCCATTCCCATCCTTGTGTAATTAAAATTCAGATTCTGATCTCAGCAGCAACATGCACTGTACCAACTCAGAGGGAAACGACGTTAGAGCAGTTCAGATTTGCTTTCCCAAGTCATTTGCTTAGAAATGTTTTTGTTTAGGCGATGCCATGGGAAAATAAAGGATCACTTTAAAATTAGTTACAGAGGTTACAGAAACAGGCCCATCATCTTTGCTCTAGTAACAGTTTTTTCCATGTGAGTTTTATGGTAGAAAGATAAGATTTTCTGCTTCTGCAAAGATTTACAACCTCAGAAACTTTATAGGCTGTTGCAAGTGTCACAAAAGAACCACGTCTGTCTGTATGGTTGTCTAGATGCTGTAGTTATATATACCCCTGCTACTCAAAACAATATAGAATTCTTATTGGAACTGACTTGACGGCACTTAACAACAACACAGATAAGTTTTAAGTCCACTAAATGTCATTTTGCTATTAGATTCCAGGTTTCTTCTCAGTCTAAAGTTAATCTTGATATATGTTTTCCAATCACCCAACTACCAGAGTACCACCTGCTCCTTCATCCTTGTAATACACATTTTTCCCATCAGTTGTTATCAGTTGTCTAGTTTGCACCAACTCATGGTGACTCCACACACAAATGAATAAAACACTGCTCCGTCCTGTATCAATCCCATGATCAGTTGGGGGCAGGACCATGTCCAATTGTGATTTATAGGATTTCTTTCCTTGGGGCTGATTTTCAGGGGTAGATGGCTAGACCTTTTTTTCCTAATGCATTTTAGTGAGAAACCTGCATTGAACCTGTTCAACATAAAACTACAGACAACTCAGCCCTGGTGACATGTGGTAAGTATGCATGAGATGCATTGGCTGGGAATTGAACCTGGGTCTCCCTCATGGAGGGTGAGGATTTTACTAATGAGCCACCAACGCCTCATGTTCAATTACCAGGCAGGTTTGAATTGCACACTCCCATTATACTTACTGAATTTCTTTGCTCAGTAGATGCCTCTTGAATGCATGTTTATATTCCTTACAACATGCAAGCCACTACAGTATGACAAACTGACAGACAAGTGGTGGATATTCCTCTAGGACTAAGAAAACATCAGCAAACCATAACTGTTACCCTTTCTCTTTCTTCCTCCTCTTATATGTTCCCAGTTTTTCTTTCAGAATAATACAAAATTTGATCTGCACAGATGCAAGGCCCCAATCTCTCAGCTCAGTTGTACCCTTGTACTCACCACTCTCACAGGTTGGTAGTGGTGTAGGTCCCCACATTCCAGTTGCTTGGCACCAAACAGATTTGTCTCCTTTCATGGTGAAGTTGCTATTACAGGCAAATGTCACAAAAGACCCATGTTTGTATGGTGGTCTAGATGTTGTTTTTATATATCCTCCTGGTACTCTGGGCTCAGAGCAAGCAGAATTCTTATTGAAATATTCACAAGTTGGAGGAGATTTATCCCACATTGCAGTCACACTGTCTTTATGAATACAATGCAGAGTCGTGTGGCCGATGAGTCGGAAGGAAAAGGAACAGCTGTACCTTACCACACTACCAACAGCAATGGGGCCAGAAGAGTGAAAATTTCGTGCATTTTTTACAACTGGAGGAGAGTCACAATAAATTCCTGAAAAGTAGAAAACAAACTATGTAGGTCTGCTGTCATAACATCTGAGTATAAAGATTTACTATAAACCACCTGGTAACTACCCTCACCCGCCTGTTATTGTTGGTGTTAGGTGCCATGGAGTTGGTTCTGACTCCTATCAACCCTCTAATGGGTTTCCAAGGAGCAGGTGGTGGGTTTGAACTGCCAACCTTGTGGTTAGAAGTCCAATGCTTCTCCAATAGTGCCACACCAGGTCTCCCTACCCACAACTACTGGTCTGTATGTACTGCCCACCTTGTGCAGCCCTTGCTCTGCCTGAGGTCTGAGCACACCTTTGTGGATCAGGCAATGGGAGCATGGCATCCCTGAGTTTGGAGGCACACACTATTTACTTCCTCAGGACAGCAAAATGTACACTGATGGGCAGGTGCCCTGTCCCCAGCTGTCTTCTGGGCAGGCAAGGACTCCTTCCAGGACCAGGCACCATGTCCCCAGTCACCTTCTAGGCCTGCAGGAACTCCATCCAGGACCAGGTACCCTGCCCCTGTCTCCCCACCTTCCCCCAGTGAGCTCACTGATTGGCAGGCGCACCATCTAAGGGCCCTAGCCCAGCCAGTTTCACCCAACTTTCACTTTGAGGTTCTTTCCCTTCCCTTGTTTTTTGTTTTGTTTCTTTTTCTGGTTTTCTTTCTTCTGTTTCTCGGTTTTCTCCTTCCCTTCTTTTCCTTTTCTTTATTATTCCTCTCTCTTTTTCTATGTTTTTGTGTTTCACTCCTTTTGTTTTCTTTAAAATTTTTTAAAATTTTCTTTATTGTTGTTTGTCTTTCTCCTTTCTTTTTAATTTACTTAGTATATTTTGTTTTGCTTTTTTTTTTTATTTATTTGTACCAACTGGTAAAAGACAGCAACTGTGCCAACACATCCCCATCTTCTGCAGCTCTAACCACTGCGTGAGGACCATCACTCACTCCTGCACCAACTGATCAATTATATATAGAGACAGCAGCCAACACCAAGCCAACTAGTCCTCAACTGCTCCACACAAACAATGAACAGAGGAACATGCACATAGTACTCCACTCTGTCACGCCCACTAGCAGACAGTTGGTGAGTGCCTAAATCCTGCCAACCTGCCTGCTTATGTGGCTATATTGTTGTTGTTGTTGTTGTTAAGTGCCATCGAGTCGGGTCCGACCCATAGCGACCCTGTACAGGGTTTCCAAGGGTGTAAATCTTTATGGGAGTAGAAAGCCTCATCTTTCTCCCGCGGAGCGGCTGGTAGTTTCGAACCGCTGACCTTAAGGTTCGCAGCCCGATTCGTAACCACTACGCTACCAGAGCTCCTTATGTGGCTATATAAAGCAAGCAAAATAAAGCACACCAACGTATAATCACCAATTAAACACAAATGCTGGATTGCAAGGTTGGTTTGAACTGCAAAGTCAGCAGTTCAAACTCACCAGGCGCTCCTTGGAAACCCTATATGGGTCACTATGAGTTGGCAGTGACTCAATGGCACTAAACAATAACAACACAATACCACCACAATAGCTTAGAGACAATAGAAAATCTTAGTTCACATGAAGAAACAAGAAGACAGAGTGGCTCAAGCAAGTTACCAAAATACAGAGTCAAAAACCTTTCTGAGGAAGAAATGATCATGAAACTACTCAAGAAAGCAAAATATTTGGAGAAAACCAACAGGGTTTAGTTAATGACAGAATTCACAAATATAAAAGATAAAAAGGTGATAAAAAAAATTCAGAGAAAGGGAAAAAAAATACTTTCTTTAGAGAATACACATTGTGATGATGAACCATGGATCCTAGGTCACAGTTCAGGTTTCAAGCTGGAGACTAGGAGGATGCATTATATGAGAAGCTAGTCTAGAATGGCATCTCATGGTTTCAGGAGGGGAAAAAGAGACAAATCTGACATATGAAGAGTGAGGACACAGTTGAGTTTCCTTGAGATGTAGAGCTCCTGACACCTTCACATCTGGGGACTGCATGGCTTCAGATTCCCAAACACGCACACTGCACGGGGTTACTTCCCTTGAGTGTAGTCAAGCTCACGGCTGTAGAATACTTCCTGTCCAACTGGAGGGGGTGGGGCAGGGAGCTCCTTATACCTTTTTGTTATAATTACCATGTGAAAAAGAATAGGACCATATGGTCTGTTCCTGAAATAACAGACCCCTACGTATAAGGAGCTCTGGTAGAGTAGTGGTTACGAATCGGGCTGCGAACCTTAAGGTTAGTGGTTCGAAACTACCAGCCACTCCGCGGGAGAAAGATGAGGCTTTCTACTCCCGTAAAGATTTACACCCTCGGAAACCCTGTACAGGGTCGCTATGGGTCGGAACCGACTCCACGGCACTTAACAACAACAACAACATATAAGGTAGACGGTCCTTTAGGTGAGGTTGTATTTAAGTGCTGTGGAGTCAGTTCTGACTAGCAGTGACTCTATATAGAGCTTCCAAGGCTCTAATTCTTCATGGGAGCAGAAAGCCTTATCTTTCTTCCAAGGAACGACTGGCAGGCTAGGACCTCGGACTTGTGGTTCAAAGCCCACTGCGGATCATATGGAACCACTATGTTCTCATGGTGATGTGGAGAGGGGTAATATGAATAACTTTCCCAGACATGATAAACCACATTACCATCTGCATCCTCAGTTCTGATCTATCCCAGGAAGCATAATGCTCACTCATCATTTCCCCATTTTATTTAACTAAAGGACCTCTGATACCTTCTCACCAATCTTATAGTCAAAGGAACCAAAATTTGGCAAATATTTTATTTTCCTTCCTGCTCCCAAAATAAGGTTGATGAGGTCTCTGGACTTTGAAGAAAAACTCCCAACGTTGCTAAGTTTTGAGAAAGTCAGATAGTTCTCAATAAGAGGATCAGGAAAAGGGATAGCAGAGGACAAATAGTCAACCCACATTCTTTTCTTCTTTCACAAATGCTACATTTTTTGATATAAGAATATAGAATGTCTTCAATACTTTGAATTAAATTCTGACCAGTCAATTTCCACTTTTGGCATGACAAACCATAGGAAATAAGAGTTCATTTTATCCTCATAGGAAATGAGAGTTCATTTTATCCTATCTGACTTTTGAAAAGTATCTTCTAATTTCCCATATATTGATATATATATAAGGAGGTCTGGTAGCATCATAGTGGATTGCACGTTGAGCTGCCAACTAAAAGGTTAGCAGTTCTAATCTACCAGCTGCTCCATAGGTGAAAGATAAGGCTTTCTGCTTCCATAAAGATTTACAGCCTCACAAACCCTATACAGGGTCGCTATGAGTTGGAACCAACTCCATGGCACACAACCACCACCACTACCAATATATATATGTAATGGAATATATACTGACTGCCACACTGTATCTGGAATATAGTAAATATCCCACCTCTCTATCATGCCGATATTACTTTCAAATTTTATCTTCAAATTCTATAACAAGAAATTGAGTTATATATTCTTCTGTTCCCATGGATATGATTATCTAGCTCTCCAAAAATCTCATTCCATTTCTAGGTAACAAAGTTTCTGCCCAATTCATCTCTGAAACACTTTGGAAGTGGAGGATTCACTTTTAGAAAAGCCTAGTTCTTACTCCAAGGAAAGAATGGTATAGAGTAGAATATCAAGTATCACAGGTAGTTATGAAAGATTAAGATTTCATAAAAAAGAGTTAGCAGATGATATTCCTCTTAGTAGCAATGGAACTTTAAAATTGGAAGAAAAGAAATCTAAATTTCTTTCTCTGCTAGGAATCCTGTATAGTGGGTATGATCTTGAAGAGCTGTGTCTGGAGAAATTAGAAAGAACTTTTTTATTTTTTATTTTTGCTTATTTATTTTTAAGGATAGGCAGCAATTACTCAGGTCTTTTATGGAAAACCGTGGTTTTATATTGGAACTATAGTTATAATGGACTTCTGGTGTGGCACTGTATGATAAGTGCAGGACCTCAAGGCCAGTTTGGACCACAGGTTGGCAGTTCAAACTCATCAGTCACTACTCTGAAACCCTATGCTGAATCACTATGAGTCAGAACTGACTCGATGGCACTTAACTAACAACTCACTGTTATAAGTCCCAATGCCCTGGAGACATCTCCTGCCAACTTATCCTTCAATGCAAGAATATGTAATTATTGACCTAACTTACACACCCCTGGTTATAAGCAAGCACAGCACTGCGGGAGGGCTCACTAGGATTCTAACATGATATACCTATAAAAGAAAACAATGCAAAAGAGGATTTGGGGTTGGGATCGGGGAATTTTTTGTGTTTTATATTAAATCCTAAACTGACTAGCCTGCTGTTGTTATTGTTAAGTGCCATCAAGTCAATCCCTACTCATAGAGACCCTGTATAGGGTTTTCAAGGAGTGGCTGGTGAGTTTGAACCACCAAACTTGCGGTTCAAACTGACTTGCGACCCAGTGCTCTTTTCCATGTTGTCACACCAGGACTCCAAATTGTTGTTGTTAAGTGCCATCAAGTCAATTCTTACTCATACCGACCCTGTACAGGGTTTCCAAGGAGCAGCTAGTGGGTTTGAACTGCCAACCTTGTGGTTCACAGTCCAGTGCTGATTCTACACTGCCACACCACGAGTCTGTGGCTAGCCTACTCATGTTTATTAAAAGAAACCTGAGACATTTACAAGACCTTTCCTTCCCAAAAGACTGGTCAACTTCAGGACACCATTTATTTAAAGCATACAGAGTATATCTCTGAGGATGGATGCAAATTTTATACGTGGGTCAACCATAATTTGTAATCTCCATTTCCCTTTTCATATTTTGTCAGTGGATGGCATCATCTACCAAGTCTCCTGAGCTAAAACAAACATACATTTATTTATTTTTTTTCTGTTCCTCATTCTGTCTCCCTGCTCTCTATCTAATTGGTCATCAGCTTTTAGCAACTGCATTTTAGAAGTATTTCCCCAAACCAACAATTTTGCAACTACTGTAATCTCTCCCGGGACCACTGAGTAATAGAATTTACCTTTCTGACTCTGATCTCCCTCAGTCCCAGAACGTCCCCCACACTGATATACAAATATTCTTTCTGAAGCACACATGCCACCCCCCCCCCCCACACACACACATTTCAAAATTTTAGAAGAATTTCTTTTCGTTTATAGGAAAAAGGGCATGCCTTTCACAGTTGAATTCCAACCCACCTAATAAACTGCTATTCTTTGTCCTGTACTTCACACTCCAACCACATTAAATTTATTTCTCTATTCCCAGAAACTTTATGTCCTTTCATCCCGCTATGCTTTCACAAAGGCCAGAATGCCTAAATTTCTTTAATTGTCCTAGATCGCATTATTTGTCCCTCTATGATAAGATGTTCATTACCATCGAGTCAATTCCGACTCACAGTGACTTTGTACAGGGTTTTCAAGGAGCAGCTGGTGGGTTTGATCACCCACCTTGTGGTTTACAGTCCAGTGCTAATACTACAGCACCACACCAGGAATCCACTGTGATGTCATAGCATTTAATAAATAAATTATTGGATTATAAATCAGAGTTTCTAAGTAATATTATGAATTCTTCAAAGGTGCAGACTGTCAGATTATTATTGGGGGAAAGGGGTTGGATAGGAATAAGGAGTGAGGGTTAGGGTTGGGACTATGGCTAGATCTAGGCTAGGCCTAGAACTTCATCTATTGTTAGGGTTATGATTAGGACTAGGGTTAGTTCTTGGCCTAGGAGTAAGGCTTGGTCTAGTTTTTAAGGTTACAGTTAAGTTTATTTTTATTTTCTTTTTTTCCCCTTGAAATATTGATTTCCTCTTCATTTTGAAGTTTCGTAGCTATACTATTCTTCTTTTCGTCTTTATGCTGTGTTTTGTTGTCATTGCTGTTTTTGCAACGATATCTCTGGTTCTCTACTTTCAGTCTTATAAGTCTGTTTTACTTGCATACTTCTATATCTGGGTTCAGTCTAGGTGATATTGCCACGGATGTTAGTTTCATGTTGTTGTCTATTGTTGGTGGTTCTCTGTCCAAAGAAGTCCCTTTAGTGTTTTTTGATAGGTTGATCTGTTTTTAACAAATTCATTTCATTTGTTTGTCTGAAAACAACCTAAGGCCACTACAATATTTGATGAACACTTGTGCTGGATATATAATTCTTGGTTGGCACTATTTTTTTTCCCCAGAGTTTTATATATGTCAGTAGATGAGGCTTTCTGCTCCCATAAAGATTTACAGCCTCGGAAACACTGTACAGGGTCGCTATGAGTCAGAACCGACTCCACGGCACATAACCACCACCAGCATTGTCTTCTTGTCTACATGGTTTCTGCTGAAAAATCAAAGCTTAGTCTTATTAGTTCTTCTTTGTGGGTAAATTAATTTTTCCCGAGCTACTCTTGGGATTCTTTCTTTGCCTTTGTCTTTGAAAAGTCTGATTATTATATGTCTTTGTGTTTTTTCTTTCGGGGTCTATCCTGTTTGGAGTTCGCTCAGCTTCTTGAAAGGCTATCTTCTTGGCTTTCATGATGTTCAGGAAGTTATCTTTCAACAACTTTTGGGTAATATTCTGTTTTGTCTTTTTGGTCTCTTCTTGTTTTGGAATTCCTATCACATGTAAGATTTTCCTCTTGATAGTGTCCCATATAATCTTAGGCTTAGGGTTTATGTTATTCTTTTTCCTTATTGTTCCTCTAGCTGATAAATATTGAGAGATTTTTCTTCAAGTTCAATAATTTGGCTTTTCATTTATTCAGTTCTATTTCTTTGCCCTTATAATGTATTACCTATTTCTGAAGACTCAGTGTTCATCATCTAGTTTCCTAATCGCTATTTTTGTATGGGTCCCATTTTTTTCAATTATTGTTGTCAAGTTTATTTCCTGAGTTTTTCCATAGTTTTAAAAATACTTTTCTTGATCTTATCTGTAGTTTATTTGATCTTTCTTAGAATCCCTAATTAGCCTAATTAGCATTCTTTTAAATTTCTTATCCAGTAGTTCCAATACAATTTCTTGTGTTACACTTTTTGACTCTGAATTTTGGTCACTTGTTTGAGGCATTCAGTCTTGTTACTTTGTGTAAGCTGAAAATGGCTGTTTTCTCTGAGACATTGTGGTATTGTATTCAAAATTAGATCACGGGATAATGGTGTATTTTCAGGCATTCACCACCTGTCTCCTGGGTGATGTAGTAGAGATCAGAAGTATGACAGCAGTTAGTTCTCTGTTCACTGTGTAGCATAGTTCAGTGTGAGTTCACACGCCTTTAGAAGCAGAAGCACTATGCCAGGTACCCAACATCAGGCAAAGCAAAGGCTGCACAAGAGGGGTTGCCATCATATGCTGGGGTGGTGATGGCAGGGACTGGCCATGCCCAGGCTACCAGGAGAGCATGGGAACAAGAGAGAATTGCACTCCCTTGCTGACAACCTCCAGTCATGTCTCGTGCCTAGAGGTTACTACTAACTATCCTCCAGTCATGTCTCGTGCCTAGAGGTTACTACTAACTATATGGACAACCACTCAGAAAAGTTCAAAATGGCTGCACCACACCATGCCAGCCCACAGTCCGCCCATTCTGCTTCTTTCTCACAGCTCCTGTTCAGTTTCCTTTCTCAGTTGACACTCAATCCACCTGTCTGTTCTATCCGCTGATGCTCAGGGGTCCAGGATCTGTCTCTGTTTCACCCTGTGTCTGTATCTCATGTCTTTGTTGTTGAGGGTCACTTTGTGCATCTGCTTACTCCAGCATTTTGCCCTGGACATGTCAGATCAATTTTCACATCTCTCCCTATCCTAATAATCTAGCCTAGTGTTTTGCACTTACTTGCTGCTGTTGTTGTTAATTGCCATTGAATTGGTTTTGACTCACAGCGATCCTATATAAGATTTCTAAGGACTGGCTGGTGAGTTTGAACCCCTGACCTTGTGGTTAACTGTCTACTACTTATCCTACAGAGCCACACTAAGACACCCAGTAGCTACTCAAATTTATTATTATTTTTAATTAAATGGAGAATGACTGGAATAAAACTAATTCCCTTCATCTATTAGCTTCCAACCTGCTCTAATACAGTGCAGACAGCGTGCAACAAATTCATGGTGGTTACATGATAAACAGCGTTCAACTCTTACACCCATTCTAGAAGTAAAAGTGAACCTGGGGAACCCATGAGCCCACTTCAGTTAAGAAGACTTACTAACCACTACAGGATTACTCATATTTTATAGAAGTGTTGAGGATTTGATTACTTGAAAATCTCTAAGAATTACCTTTTGCTAAATCTAGGGTAACATTCATATTCCCAAGATATCTCAACAAGAAACTCAGAGTCATTGTTCTGATTGTTAGGCTTAGTGAAAGGATAGTTTGGCAGGGGCTTGCACTGAGTTAGACATATCCCAGGAACATCAAAACCAGGAAAGACTAAATGTCCACTCTGCTGTTTGATCACCAGTTTATCCTGACAAATTTGACCTTTAGGATTCCAGTCTAAAATGGGGCAGTCTTTTCTGATACAAAGAACAGACACCATTTCCACACAGATGAATATAGAAAGGGATAAGTGCAGAGGTTTAAACTCTTTGAAAAATAAACTTCATATGAGGACAGGAGGGTTTGTACAATGTTTTTCATAACACTGGAAATATATTAATAAAAGCTAGAGAGATTTTCTGGAATAGTATAGAACACTAGGGTACATCAGGGACCCTACAAACTCAGCATGCACATGTATGGTCTTCTAAAATTATTATAATGAATTAATATCACAATCTTAGTTATTAAAACTTAAGAGTCCTAGAGAAAACAAAATGTTTATTCTTTATATTATTCTATCAATTTAGTAGAGTGATATGGAGTCCTGGTGTGGTGCTGTAGGATAAGCACTGGGCCACAAGGTCAGTTTGAACCACAAGGTCAGCAGTTCCAACTCACCAGTCAGTCGCTACAAGTCAGAACTGACTCATTGGCACTTAACCAGAGTAATACCCTCCCTGAGAGAGTTTAATAAGTATTTTCTGATGGGTACTAGATAAAAGGGGAGTTTGCTATACAGTAATAATATTAATAATGAAAAAATCATATTCTATCATACAGTTGAGGAAGAATCTGGAAAAGTCATAATTTGTCGTATGAAAGAGATCTTAACTTTCAGCTACCTAAGTATGTGTGTCGAGAACAAGAGGTTAGTGTTCTTCCAAATCAGACCATAGTCAGGACCAGAAAAAAAAAAGTTAATTGTGAAAACTTCTCATAATAGCAATGTATTTGAAGAAGATCAAATATATAAATCCTCCACTTTCTCAAACAAGTGAGAGATGGGTACAGGTAATAGTCAAATAATAAACATGGACCTACTGCTGTAAGATAAGCACTGGACTACTAACCATAAGGTCAACAGTTCAAACCCACCAGCCACTCCTTGGAAACCCTATACAGGGTCCCTATGAGTACGCGTCAGAACTGACTCGATGGCACTTAACAACAACAATAACAACTGACACAGGAGTCCCTGGGTGGTCCAGATGCTTCATTAGTGCAGCTGCTGACTATCCAAAAGGCTGGAGTCCACCCAAAGGCACCTTGGAAGAAAGGCCTAGTGATCTAATTCTGAAAAATCAGCCACTGAAAACCTTGTGGGGCACAGCTCTCCCCTGACATGCACAGGGTCACCATCACTCAGAGGAGACTCCAGGACAATTGTAATAGAACTGTCACAAGAGTGTACACAGAGCTCCCAAAGGCACAGGCAAAGACAGCTGACCTGTAGCCCATGCTCCTCATTGAAAAGTCACAAAGACTGTATGGCCGTTACAGTTGGGACCCAGATCTCATTGCTGGTCCTTTTCTATGTCTTTCTCCAACACCTTTGGTTTCCCCCACTGACACATACAAATGTCACTAACTGCCCATTTGTGCAAGATTGCAGGGCTCGATCAGGAAAATCGGAGGTTGACCTCAATGAAAACCATTTTCATGATCCTGTTATTACTTATACTAATTCATCTGAATCAAGTGATTTATTCTGCAATCATTCAATGTAAAGCAAGACAATCCCAAATTATCTTTTGCAAACTGGACAGCCAGTTTGAGTTCACAAGATGTGATCAGTAGTAACAACAGAGCTAAGAATGGAACCAGGATCAGAAGCAGCAAAAGTAGAAAGGTACTTTGTAACATGCACTTCCAAGGTGAAAGCAGATAAATAAGAACCACAATTTTTGGATGAGGAATAATGGGAAATTCTCATTCCACTAATAAAGAGGATTGATCTCAATACACTATTTGGAGGTTTGACCCTAATACTCTTATCTCTCATATGGAGTCTCGGTAGTACAGTGGATTATGAGCTGGGTTGCTAACCACAAGGAGAAAGATAAGGCTTTCGGCTCCCATAAAGACTTACAGCCTTGGAAGCCCTATACGGGGTTGCTAGCAGTCGGAACTGACTTGATGGCATACCACCACCACCATGTCTCAGTCATGAAATTGCCAAAATCCTGGGTCACGTGCAAAAATTTCAGAAATCATGTTCTCTTCAGTCTCAGAAAAGGGAAGGGAAGTTCATGAGCTACTAAGAAACCATCTGTTTAAGGGTAACTGCACCCTGCCTATGCCTTTCTCAAATCAGAGTAGACAACGACAGATTTTAAACTAAGAGGTCCTAAAGAAGAAAGTGGAACTCTTTCACACATACATCCCTCAAAGCATTTTTAAAAAGAACTAGATGAAGCAGGACAGGAATACATTTAACCATTTGTTTCGGTCCAAGCAGCTTTACTTAGAATGTTGTAGAGATTCATTTGAAATGATTGAGGAATACTTAGGCTAAGAATAATAATAATAAAAAACCCCAAAATGGAGATCAGAAAGCAGGTAGCAAGAGAAACATTCACTGAGCAGAGAATGACCATAACGAAGTAATTTAATACTGATCTCCCGGCTATTTGATAATTTTTGAATGAGCGTTGCATGTATGGACTAAAGCACTGTCCTAGGCACAAGAGACCCATCAGTAAATATTAGAGACAAGGTCCCCATTCTCAGTGAATTCTTATTCCAATAGAGGGTGGTGGTGGTGGTTATGTGCCGTGGAGTCGGTTCCAACTCATAGCGACCCTGTACAGGGTTTCCGAGGCTGTAAATCTTTACAGAAGCAGAAAGCCTCATCTTTCTCCTACAGAACAGCTGGTAGTTTTGAACTGCTGACCTTGAGGTTTGCAGCCCAATTCGTAACCACTATGCTGGAGCCAAACCCAAAACACCAAACCCACTGCCATCAAGTCAATTCTGACTCACAGAAACCCTGTGTATAGTTTCTAAGGCTATAAATCTTTATTGGAGGAGAAAGTTTCTTCTTGTTTCTGGGGAGTGGCAGGTGGGTTTGAATCACTGACTTTATGGTGAGCGGCCAATGCATAGCCCACAGCATCACCAGGGTTTATTTAAATATTAATAAACCAACAAGATGGTATTATAAAGGCAGTATACAGAATGATGTAGGATAGTTGCACTACAGGAAATAGAGAAGATAGTTCTGTATTAGTGGCTTGGGTAAACCCACTTCACTACATAGTGGTAAACCGCTATGTGACAGTGGAACTGGGAATTGATTGTTGATAATGAGCCAGCAAGGAAGGATCTGCAAGAAGCGTGTTTCAATAGAGGTATGTCTTGTTCAAGGAATAGAAAGAAATCCAGTTCTCTGGAGCAGAGGAAGTGAGGGGAAAGCAGAGAATTCCAGAGTGAGGCTGAGGCGTTGTTGTTGCGGATTAAAAGGCCTGGATTTTACTCTAATATGATGGGAAGCCCTTGGCAAGTTTAAAGCAGGGGGAGGATAGGATCTGACCTAAGATGCAGGTAGGTTTGTAAATGAAGTGGTTTGCAAAAGAGGGAATTCCTCATTGATTTGAGTTTTGTTTTCTCAGTATAGGAGGATAAAGTGAGATCGCCACTCAAGACAAAAGTGAAATTTAAGAGCGCAGGAAATCTAAATTGGTTTATGCAAACAGGAAAAAGGAAAGAAGAGGAAAACTGTCTAATAAGGAACTTTGAGCTCCATATGATTTTGCCCACAGCAATGTATCCTACAGATATTTGCTTCAGAATCTTCTAGAGCTTGTTAACTCCTAGCTTCCTAGAATACTCCTCAAATCTCTGGAGGGTGAGCTGGAATCCAGTAACATGCAGCTTAAAAAAGTGCCTCAAGAATTTCTTAAACTTGGGCAGGAACTAGCTGAGAGCCAAGAGACCATCTAGGGAGGGTATAAAGCAGGAACAGAAGCCAGGAGAAGGCAAGTGGGCAAAGCATGAATACAGAACAATGGATGGCAGCTGACCAAGAAGATGGGCACATTAGCTATTAACACTGACAGGGGCATACTTGATGGGGAAGTCGGAGTAATTAGGAGGGGCGTGTTGAAGTAAAGTCAAACTCCAAAGGCTTTGAAAGGCTGATGAGATATTTTATCTCAAAGGCAGCAAAGAGCCCTTATAGATTTTTGAACAGGGGAACAGAATAATGAAGAAAAAATAAACAAATACACACACTTAAGGTTAGATGTAAGAAAGAATGATATAAAACACACATACACATACAAATTAAAATCTCATTAGCTATCCCATTATCTTTTCATTTCATTTTCCACGAAGTATTTGAAGTCATTCGTATCTATAATTCATTAGTGGAAAGGTTAAAGACGCTGGTATTAGCGAGACTTGTTAAAGAGGAGACTGTTACATGGGTTAGCTTAATGCTTCAAAACAAAACTGGTGGCCATCAAGTTTATTCTGACTCATGGTGACCCCATGTGTTACCGAGTAACATGTGTTGGCAGTAACCTTTGTGGAAGCAGGTCACTAACCTTTTTTCTAAGGTAGAGCTGAGTGGGTTCAAACTGCAAATCTTTTGGTTAATAATCGAGTGCAAACCGTTTGCACCACCCAGGGACAGAATATAATGCTTAAGGCTAGACTGCTAGTGTAAGAATAAATTCAAAACATATGTACACACACATAGAAAAAGGATATTGGCTATAACATTTGACAGGTAAGTAGCCCTTGTCATTCACGTGACTACAATAAAGGACTTAGACCATGGTAACCTGCTTTGGTAATCTGTATAGACTTCAGCAAGGCTGCTCAAGAAACTGATTTTCAATGGATAGTGCCCTCTTTGCAATTTACCAATGGGAATGGAACACCTGTAGGAAGTCAGGTCTGGAACTGCGTTTTGTGGGAATGTTAGGAAAGTTGTGAAGGTGCACTGATTCACAGAGAGTTAACACTTGGAAAAGTGA